AGTTTCAGGCTGGACACAAATCTTTTCATCATTGTGTAGCTGCACGTCGCAGGAAAATTGGTTAAGCTTCGTAAACAAGTTTGGGCCTGAAATCAGAAACAAAGGTATAGATCTTCACAGTGAGTGAGTTTGGTTTTAGGCCGCTTTTAGCAATATTCAAGCAATATCACGTCTGGGGACACCAGAAATGGGCTTCACACATTGGATCCATGTGTGGAGCGAATCGAATCCGGGTCTTCACTGCCTCAGAGTTCACATAACGCTTTAGCCACTTGGCTACCCCACTGCCTCAGATGTTCACATATTACTGGCCTTGATAGAATGTGTGATCAGAGAGATAAGCGATTGTCCTTTGTATATGGTCCTACATACAAATCTGTTCCATAACATTCCGTAACAATCTTGGTGAGACTATTCTTGGCAGGTCGTTCCTGTTCTAGAAGTTTCCAGATTACTTTTGACTCCCAGTCTAAATATGGCAACTTATAGCTGCTCTATGCTGATTCTTAACAGAAATATAATGCAATCAGGACATTGTCTTTCAATGAAATACATTGCGAGACAACGCCAGACATACTTAGAAATATTTCTGTTAATAGCTGATTTATGTTTAACACGCGAAAATAATATCAGATATGTCTCTCTAAAACGCGAAATTGATACATTTAATGTGGTACTGCTATGTGTATACACTGAAATAAGCAGTCAGTATTTAGTCTCGTTAGTTGTGCTGCAATATCTACAGACTAGTTCTTGAGGATAAAATATTTACATGTTTCCAACCAGGGGCTTCCACATATCGACCAGGAATATACTGATGATCCTATTACAACCAACGTTGAGAGCAAAAAAGTCGAATACGCATTGCCAAGCAAACACTGCTATGGTACTACCACTGTCAGTGTGATCCAAGAGTGAAGCCACGCAAACAGTCTGCATCAGCTGGAGTTATTACATTTCACAAAGTTGTAGTTGGATTACCAACTCTTTCATCTTTGGCTGAATGAAGGAACGTAGCATTTTCACAATGACTGGTTTTTGTATGTTTGCACTAACGCTGGGTAAGCTAACATCAGCTGGCTCTCAGGGGATAAAGGTATGTAGGGAGGTGTGCACGAAGACTAACGGTTGTGTGCTGGTTCAAGAAGGAATTGTCACCTTTGCCTGCCACAAACCAATCGATTTTCATGGATCCACTGGAGAAGTAAGTTTCATCAGGATATTTTATGTGGAGAGTACCGGCATTTTGACATGACTGACTAGATTTTTGTAGGCAGCAACTTTGAATTCCCTGTAAGTTTTCCCATACGTTTTAAGATTGCATGACACTCATCTTGGATAAATTGAAGCATCTGCAACAAACAAAAGCAACAACAAAAATGTTGAATGCTTTTTTCTATTTTGACTTGTGCCACATGTTCCCGTGTTTGTTCAGGGGCTCCTTTCACGAAGCAACCTTTACTTAGGTTAACTTTAACTCCCATTTTTTAACATTGCACTGAGGTTACCTTAGTGACTTACAATCACCTTAGTGCTCTGTGAAAGGAGACCCAGTCAATATCGACCTTTACCAGTTAGTAGATATGGACATTATGGACTCTTAGAAGAGACATTGTCGCGCTTTTGCATTGTCGTCCCTATAAAAACAAGCATAATCAACCAAACCGCTACAATGCAGCATCTTGGCCAATTGTTGCATTGTCGGGCTTTGAATAACATTATTCCAAAAAAAAGCGACAATGCGACAACACGACAGTTTTTAAACACCAAATAATGTCGCCCCATTTAAATGTATCAAACAAGCGTAAAAACACAGTATGTACAACGCCATATTGATAATGCTGCATTGCCACTGTACATTTTTATTAATGGTGCGCCTCAATAATAAGTAAATTAATTGACGCATGCGCAAAAATATTGCTATGCTCCTTTCGAACTCGCAGGTGTCTTTTGTTCCCGGTAATGGTTCATCATTGTTTTAAAAACATAAGAAGCTATGTCAAAGAAAATTGCTTTTCTTACGGTAATTCACATCTTTCATCTTGATAAGATATATATTGTTTGTGTCGCTGCTGTTTTCAATAAACCCAACGTGCTTTCACATCAATTCTTTGAAATTCCATTCAAATTAATACCTGTTTCCGACAACCTCGAGTTCGAGGACGACTCACCGTGGCCATTTAGTTGGCCCTGTCTGGAAAGGCGTTTTCACAAAAGAGCGTTAAACACACCCATATTAACTACCTTCTACTGCCCAATTTCAATATAATTCATTTCTGCAAATGTCAAGTTTCTCTTTTTGTTCAGTACTATCGTGGTGACTGACTTCGATCCCTGGGCATCTCTGCCATACACATATATCTAAAATCATTGATCATGTTTCTTGAAAACCTGAAAATCTACAGCAGCTAATAATAACGCACCCGTGGAGATCTGGGTTAGAATTGGTCGTCAGCAACTGATGCTTGGCGACTAACGGGATCGGGTGGACAGGCACGCTGACTTAGTTAACACATGCGATGGTATCCCAATTGCATAGATCGATGCTCATACTGTTGATCACTGGACTGTCTGGTCCAGACTCGATTATTTACAGACCTCCACCATACAGCTGGAATAATGCTGAGTGCGGCTTTATACAATCAACCAGCCAATGATAACTCGACAACGAGACATGTGGTGAATATTAAAATCTCTATAGGTACCTCGCTTACTGTAGAGAGAAATATATTTTTGATGACGATTAAACTGCATATTAAATTTTCAAAAGACAAAATACCCAAAGGCACTCGATTTGTTGAACGTTCCAGTGACATTGTGGTTGGAATATTGTCGACGAGGCTGTATATTTGAATTTACTCATTTTATATTTTTTATATATACTACCCATCAAAAATTTAGACTCACTTAAAGCACTCACTATATGTTATGTATATATATATGATTACATCGAAAATGAATTTCTCCACTAACCTGGGGAAACCAACTGCAAACCTTATGCAGATGAATTGCACTAGGACCATGCATCAATTTTCTGAAAAGCATGTGCAAATATCGTGCATGTGAACAGCTACGCTTTGGTGTAAAGTTTTGTTAAGAATTCGCCAATTTTCACCGAGTTTCATGATTTATTGAACTCATGAAAAAGGGTTTTGCAACCTTACGAATGTTTATACAATTCATCAGTTCATGTGCAAACAGTACCTTCAAAAATTATGGAATATATAGCAAAATCTAGCTTAAAACAGTTGACTGAAGCAAGTGGCTACATTTACACTAGTGAGTCTAAACTTTTGATGGGTAGTATATTAAGGAAGTATATGTTTCGAACCGTAAATAAAATGTGCTAATTACTTGCCATTTAAGTACACTCTTCAAAACAAGAAACGCATAAGCCGATTTTTTAGAAGACGTTATTGCGTTAGTTTAAGAGCAATTATTTCATGTAATTTCAATGGTAAAAAATGGAAATTCACACGTCTATAGCCAGCGAGTTCGCCAACACAACATCAGACTTTATTGTTGTGTTTCTGTTTACTTGAGTCCACAAGATGGCGTCAAAGTCCGTACCTTGCATGGCCACCATTGGCAACAATTATTGCTCGGCACCGTCTCGGCACATACTGGATAATTCGACGAATTTCGAAGTCGAAGTCTTGCGGGATTTTCCCCAACACTTCCTGCAATGCGATGGCCAGTTGTGGAAGTGTCTGAGGCGTGTTTCGAGTTCATTCTATATGTGTTCTATCAGGTTTAGATCTGGTGATCGGGAAGGCCATGGCAAGACATTGACGTTAGAGGTAGCAGACCGTTCCACATGCTGTATGTGAAGTATCGTTGTTATACTGGAACAGCTCGCTCTGTTGGTCCATAATCGGAAGCATGTCACGTGCAAGAACTTCGTTGATGTAACGATTTGCTGTCAAATTCCCCTGAACCACCACTAAATCAGATCTTTGTGTGCTGGATATCGCACCCCACACCATGACACTGTATCTACCGAAACTATTGACTTGTCGAATGCAATTAGGGGCAATAAGTTCATTTCTCAGATGGTCAACACGCTGTCTTCCATCTCGCCGGTGAAGAGAAATCATGATTCATCACTGCACCAGACTCGCCTCCAGGTTCTAAGATTCCAGTTCCAGACTCGACGACACCACCGCAAGCGATTGTGCCGACGGAAGTCTCTCAAAACAGGAACGACAACTGGCCTTCTTGGTCGATTTCCAACTTTACACAATTGATTCCTGGCTGTTTGGTGGAAAAATCTTCTCAAACCAGTGATGCTTTGCGCAGTCTCCATGGCTGTGGCTTGACGATGACGGAAAAAAGCAACCCGGATGTAGCGGACCTGGGCTTGGGTGGTAACGCTCGGACGGCCGCTTCTCGGGCGATCTTGGTCTGCAGGAAACAATCCTAAAGGCGAGATATGGTGCCCTGATGAACATTGAAATGTCGAGAAACTGCAGACTGCGACTCCACAGCCTATGGAGATGTTTCGATTGGCGGCACTCAGTCGTGTCATGATGATTTCCTCCTGTCCAGGCCAAAACGAATGACAAAATTAAACACAACGTTTGCCTTTCTGTAGTGATCGATAACGCATGGTTGTCCGCTTACTTGTAAGTGCATTTTGCTTTGCATGTTTTCTGGCCGCGATTTGGCGCTGAAGCTGTTTACAAGCACACAAAGATGCGTTTTGGGAAGAAATAGTATATTTGTATTGTGTTTTTCCGCAGCTACATGAGTCCAATATTCTCAAAATCACCTATGCGTTTTTTTTATTTAAAGAGTGTAGTTAGGGGCTGGTTGAAAGTAATTAACTTTATCGTTCTTTTGACTTTGAAATTTAGGACGTTCTATGGAGAGGATTTAGAAAAGGGAGTTGGTGAGTTGCTTCTGTTTTTGGAATGATGTTACTCATTCCTGGTTTAATGTATTGTATTTACAAATGTTCTGTTTTAAATTTCTGGCACAAATAGCAGTCCAATCAAAGTATGGAAACAGACAAAGGAATGGAGTGTACCCAGCTCTGCACATCTGAGTTGGAAAACTCCATAATGATGGGACAAGCAAACCTGGGGAAGAAGACTCAAGATGCCCTGGACATGGCACATCGAAACCAAATCAGCCCTGATCATCGGACGGAAGAGATGAGACGAAGCAACTCTCAATCACGCACTGATGCTGAAACACACGTTTCAAAAGGAATGAAAACAGAAGAAGTTGTACCAAATGAAACTGCAACTGCAACCCCACGTGGCTCTGCAACACACATTGCTGTCGTGAAGGATTCAAAGAGTAAGCTTATTGGAACGGGGAATGGAAGCAAAAAAGAAACAATACTGAACTCCTCTACACACTCCTCTGTCCTTAAACAAGATTCGAAGAATATGGGAACAGAAGGGGGACGTATTTTCTATACCAAATCCAGCTCAGCATCACACCGCAGGGGTCAGAACCAGGATTCAAAGAATAAGGGAACAGGTGCGATAAGACTAAATGAAACCACACCCAGCTCACCCAGTGAGCGAGCCATCGATGCCCTTAACCCGGATTCAAAGATTCAGGAGACAGGGAAAGGAAACATTTATCAAACCAAATCAGGCTTACGAACAAGCAACAGTGTCCTTAGCCAGGATCCGAAGAGAAAGGCAACAGGACCAAGAATAAAGAATGACAGGAAACCCAGCTCACCAACAGGCAGCAATGTCCAGGATCCACAGAGTAAGGCAACAGGAACAAGAATAAAGAATGACAACACACCCAGCTCACCAACAGGCAGCAATGTCCAGGATCCAAAGAGTGAGGGAACAGGATCAAGAATAAAGCATGACAACACACCCAGCTCACCAACAGGCAGCAATGTCCAGGATCCAAAGAGTGAGGGAACAGGATCAAGAATAAAGAATGACAACACACCCAGCTCACCAACAGGCAGCAATGTCCAGGATGCAAAGAGTGAGGGAACAGGATCAAGAATAAAGAATGACAACACACCCAGCTCACCAACAGGCAGCAATGTCCAGGATCCAAAGAGGAGGGAACAGGATCAAGAATAAAGAATGACAACACACCCAGCTCACCAACAGGCAGCAATGTCCAGGATCCAAAGAGTGAGGGAACAGGATCAAGAATAAAGAATGACAACACACCCAGCTCACCAACAGGCAGCAATGTCCAGGATCCAAAGAGTGAGGGAACAGGGAAGGGAAGAACGGATGCATCTAACACCAAACCTTCGCAGGGCATCGGTTTACAAAGTCGTGACTCAACGGGACAGGAAACAAGTCATTCCGGAATCAATACGGCTGTACTTAAGAAGCCATCCTCTAAGTTGGATCTGAATACGTCAAATACAAGGGAACAGACAAAATCACAACCCAGTGTCAATATGCAACCAAAAAGAGTAAATGGAAAGAAGACTGGAGATGGTGACATCACTCAAAAGGAACGAAACGTTCGTGCAAGTAAGTTGTGGAATATCAGATTCTAGATGGAGTTTGGACTACAACATTATAGTCTGGTTATATGATATAACGTGTAGGTTTTTCTGCAGGATAAAACGGTATCTGAATATATTAATATGCAAATACAGGTCGGTACTACTTTTAGTGTTTACAACCTCGCCGAGCATTTCCTCGAGCTTGAACCATCGAAAATATGGAGACATCATTGCTGCATTTTTTTATTAAAACATACCAATAGTTTAATTTTTATAATTTTGAGGAACTAAGGAGATATAAATTGCAGAGCAATTTAGCAACTTGGGTCCTTTACAAAAAATGTTTGAATTGGCCGACATATATGCCTTGACTCATATTATCGATGTGTGCAGATAAATTACTACATTTTATAATGTTATGACCAGCTGCTGACAGGATAAACGCACATACGAGACGTCTGATCGACAAGGGTTGAGCGGGCCTATAAACTGCCGAGATATACAAATACCAGCGTGTGTAGGCAGTTGTTGCTTTGCCAGGTTGTAGTTAGGACACTGTCTAAAAACAGGTTTCAGTTGGAACTATATTGACTATTGTCACTGTCCTTGTGACGTCATCTAATTTAACGCGGACATTGGCCACTTCCAGAGCTTGCGATATATATGGCAGGTGTTTCGACGGCAGAACATAAGAATGGCATTTGATGAAGAGGTCATTATCTGTATGGGCTGGGGCAGCAAATATTCTGTACTGGGTATATAGTCAATGCATTTAGTACGCCAAGGCTCGCTTCACGTTGATTTCTACTCAAGTAGAGGATATGAAAATCACCACCCAAAGAGTAAGTGAATGGGGTTTTACGCCTCTTTTGGCAATATTCCAGAAATATCACGACAGGTTTACTTGGAAATGGGCTTCACACATTGTACCCATGTGGGGAATCGAACCTTGGCCTTAAGCGTGACGAGCGACTGCTTTAACCACTAGGCTACCCCACCGCCCGTTTCACAAATGAAAGCAGTATCGGTAAAAGCAACCAAATGTCGTGCATGTCAACACAATTACTACAATGGCACAATGGTGGTAGGGTTAAAAATACATTCCCGTCACTCTATTTCTGCTTGTAAGTTGCAATTTAATTGGTCCATCAACGTCTGCGATTTCATTGATTGCAGACCCGTGAAGATCCGAGCTAGAATAGGTCTTCAGCAACCCATGCTTGCCACAAAAGGCGACTATGCTTGTCGTAAGAGGCGACTAACGGGATCGGATGGTCAGGCTCGCTGACTTGGTTGACACATGTCATCGGTTCCCAATTGCGCAGATCGATGATCATGCTGCTGATCACTGGATTGTCTGGTCCAGACTCAATTATTGACAGACCTCCGCCATATAGCTGCAATGTTGCTGAGTGCGGCGTAAAACTAACTCACTCACTCACTCATTGATTGCAAGTCACGCTTCCCAGTAACAAGGACATTCGTTATAACCACTGCTTTGACCAGTCCAGGCTCAATTAATATTAGCCATCCAACAAAGCTTGGGAAATGAAGCCTTTACGCGCCTAATCATGCACTCAACGATGACACTCGTTGTTAAAACGTCAGTAATTTAAACCAATTGTCAAGGCAAGTTCAATATAAGCAAATCAACACTTGGCATTGTATAGTCTTCTGTCCATTTGCCAAATGTTGACCTTCAGTGTCCATTGATTTGGTGACATTGGTTCTTCGAGTTGTATCATAAAATTACTTATTGAATACATTGTTTTAAAAGGTCGACTGGGTTATGAGAAGCTGTCGGCGGGGAAGACAACGTTTAATGTCAAAAAGTATGCTGTAAAGAAGACGTGGGGGGAAGCTCTGGAACAGTGTCATTCTGATGGAGGAACACTTGTGAATATAAACAATCGTTTGAAGAACCGATCACTAACAAAAAAATATGCTTTCTTTAGTAAGTGTGAATTTACCTGGGTTTTTTATCCGTGGACATATATTTTCAGCCATGCAATATACTGGCAACACGTACCTTACAACAAACACACAACACACACATGCACGCACGCAATCGAACAAATACATGCATACTTAGTACTGGACTATCGTATTTTCGGACGTTTGTGTATTCAGTCTCATAAAGACCCCTAGCCTAAGTTTGTTTATCATCAAAAACTGTTCCACTGGAGACATTGCTTGTGTGAGATCACACGATATTTCTCAGGAGATGTCAGTTTGACAGTAGATTTTATACAATGCCCTGACAATGCTATGACGTCATGAACTTGATGCCGTCACAAAGCCATGACATCGCTACACTGCAACTCTATTGGTAGTACAATGTTCAGATATGTACATTTTTCATTGAGAACCAATGAGGACTGATTTTTTATGCTAAATAGAATCTTACCCTCGTGTCTACTGATATCATTTATATGAACACTCGTTGATAAAAGTACAAATATTTGTAGCTTTATCAACTAGTGTTGATATAATTCATATCAGTAGACACGAGGGTGAGATTATCTATATATTTCCATAATAATATTTACGGATATAATTTTTTTGCACTATTTAACTGTGGCGGTTCGCTCTATTGACATCAATAAGTGCACAAGTACGGCTTGGATAATTGAAGAAGTGACTTCAGGTGACTATGAGCCAGCATGAATTGTTGGAATATGTTTGTACAGTTGCTAGCAACAACTACAACAAGGGTGAAAAGGTTACATTTTCAAATATATATTTTAGATAATCAACGCAAACCCGAAGAACAAAATTCAGCATTTGCGTACATTTTAGCCTCATCCATTATGTAAGGTTATTAGTGGACAAGGGAATTACCTGATGACGCTGATAACAAGGTCCCTTTTGTCTGAATTCCTTTGACGACAAAAAGTCAGAAACATTATATCGTGTCATAAAGTGTTGGCATAACAATTTACAGGAATATACAAAAATAACTATAATAACTAAATTATTCTTTAAATTGAAATACCACTACGTTTAGATTGTTAATGTGCAAGCTTTTGGGTACAGAATGACATTTTCATTATTTCCAGCTGACATGTTTTGGATGTTGAATTACCGTACATATTTTTGCAACAACATTTGTCTAATTTCAGAGTCCCACTGGATTGGTTTGAAGGATCTCTATGACAACAATACATTCTTCTGGACTGATGAGTCACCTCTGACATTCAGCAAATGGCAAACTGATCAACCAAGTCATACAGGTACAGGAGGGAAGGAGAACTGTGCTGATCTTTCTGTAAGCTTTGTTAATGGACAGGGCTGGAACGACCAACCATGTGATACATTATATCAGTTCATTTGTGAAATATAACTTGGTTTATATCTTTATCATTTTACACCTTTAACGGTCGCAAAAATGTCGTGGATGACATTTTATGAAATATATGGTACTAGGGACATAGACTGTCCCTTCATCCTGTCTGGAAAATATAATAATGGGGTCTCTCGTCTGTTGGACTGGACCTAGGAGCATATTTAAACGTCATCGCGGTTTTTTGAAAGGTATATTTCAATATTTTTCCAAATGATTCATGGAGACTAAGACAGGGAACAACAGTATAACAACATGATGTTTTACTGAACCTGAACAATGGAGTGAGTGAGTGAGTGTGTTATTATTTAACGTCACATCGGCAATATTTCAGCCATATCGTGACGAGAACATTTGAGATTGAAATAGAATATATATAGATAATATAAAACCTGTCCACGAAGGACAGTAAAAATACTAGATAATCACATATATGAATATAAAACTAGTGAACAAAGCTAAAACATTCTAATTCAAGAAGACAATACAATATAAAAACGGGCTATAGATCGCCAGCAACTGAAGATAGATCACCATACTAGGAACCATGGGGACTAAATTTACTTTCGCTACCTGCATGGACCCTACTTGGATTTACATCAGCCCTTCAGCCATTGGCGACAGAAGAGAAATCTAGCCATAAATTAAAAGCACACATATTCTACGATTAAAAACTTGGCAAGCCTATATTTGCTTTGAAAGTTTTTGGGACTTACGTACCCTCCTGAACAATGGAACTTACATTTCCAAAGTCCTACAAGCTTACAAACTGGTACATCTGATAGTCGGTTCTTTCAATATCAGAATCGTTTATATATATATTTAAATATGAATGGCCAATATGTATGAGTGTTTTTGGTCAGGTAGAAATATATACTGGATACAGATTAATTCATCATGTTTATTGTTTCAAGGCCAAATGACCCATTGTTAATGTAAATATATACAGAAAGAAATACATATGCGTGTTACAATTTTTGTAGATGGATCGTAAAGATATTATATAAGCATTTACCTAATAAAAGCAAAGCATTTGTATCATTTGAATTCAGTAAATGTTTAAGATTATCCGGACGTATGTTACATTGTAAAGAGACAGTTAATTCCATACTGTAAAGAGACAGTTAATTCCATACGGAGACTATTATGGACACTGATAACATATATGATTCTCGTCTTCTAATACATTACGCAGGGAGGGCATTTAGCATCATCATTTTCAGTATTACACAAACCTTTTCTAACTTTTTGTTATCTTAAACGATTAAAATTTGTTCTAAATAGAAGTAATTACCTTCTGTATTTTTGGTTTCTCACTGCATTAATAAATAACTCTTAATTAAATACGGTTTTAATGGATGAATAAAAACATAATGATTTCTTTTCTAATAATTCGGAATGACTGTTTTGATTTTAACAGTCAATGACTCTTTGAGTAAACATTATATAAAATTATACAACACCTTGAGACAGCCACACACGGCCAAACCCGAACGTGAATAACAATTCATTTATGTGGGTTGTCCAATTTTTTACTTAAGAGTTACTCAAATTGTGTTTTCAGTCCGTAGGTATTCTAAACATGCTGAAGAATAATACTGTGACTCGTGTAAGGGTTGATTTCGGTCGAGGTTGCCGTGCCAGTTTACCATGCTGGTGAAACCATTAGAACGGTAGTGTCAACAAACATAGGTCGCCCAATGGCTTCGATTTACGTCCAAAACTGAATACTTTGGGTTCGACATTGGGCCGAACAAAAAGCATCTTTCCTGGAGATAATTTTTTGTACTTCAAACAGGGAGGGAGAGTGTACACAAATAAATGTGTGCTTTACCTTGAAAATATAATTACAAATGTAACCTTTGTTACAGTACACCAAATGTAGTAATTTGGTGCTTTATTCTGAGAGTTTGGGTTCGAATCCCAGACGAGGCCCCACCCAAACATAAACTGAGGGGAAAACAAAATGGGATCACATGAAAACATTCGTGTTCCCTTATTTTTCTCCAGGTTTCTTCACAAGCTATGCGATACAAAGCTTATGAGGAAACCTTAGAAAAAAAAATAAAGGAACACTTGACCTTTCAAGTGTTCCCTTATTTGTTTCCCTCAGTATATTACTGGAATGTGTAATGTACTAAGAAAGTGTGACCCAGATGTACCATTGGTAACACTGTGTATCAGTTCAGGCTATCGTTGAAATCCTGGTGCAATATATGCTCTGCTTTGACTATATGAAAGTAATCATTGATAAAATGCCCTGAGATATTCAGTAAATGTTTCAGTGAGAACCCTTCGAGTCTTTAGTCTTTTGTTTGCTTGTTGTTTAGCACCGCAATCAACAATATTTCAGCTATATGGCTAAGTAAATAATCGAGTCTGGACCAGACAATCCAGTGACCAACAGCATGACTATAGCTCTACGCAATTGGGATACGATATGTCAACCAAGTCAGCGAGCTCGACCACCCGATCCCAATTCCTGTCACGACAAGCATGGGTTGCTAATTCGAGTGATAGGTCCACATACAAAATGTATGGTCTTTCTTAAATATACGAACGTTTTCAAGTTGTTGCAGAGTGAGTTACTTCCATGATTTTAGGCTTAGATTTCCTAAATACAACAAAATGTTGTCATGGATATTCAGTCTTGTACTTTAACTATTCAAAATGGTTCTACAATTGATCCATTGAGGGTAAATGATACTCTGTTACCACCTGTTAGTGTTCAACAATCAGTCCTCAAGGAATTCGAACATATTCCTGCTCGCTCATTGACAAAACCACAATTCCTTCTTCATCAAAAGAAAATTACTCAGCTCTCTAATTCAAACAAGTATCGACGAGTCACCCTTCGGTTACAATGCCTTTCCAGGGCAAGCTGGCTGGCCGTTTCCCTCGCATTCTCGGTCGCACGTGAGGTTCATGCACGTGATGTCCTTCACATATGAAAGAGGTGAGGTGGAATAGGGTTTAACGTCGTACTTGGGAATATTTTGTGTGTATGTGTGGCTGCTTGTACTAGCCCAGACTGGTTTTATAGTGCTAGTTTACTGAGATACCATGCCACATTTAAGCATGAATACCCACACAGATACATTATACTGAGTCTGAGCTGACGAGTCCTTGTTGTACCCATTAATGCCGAGCGCCATCAGGGACCAACAAGTACCATGTTTTAACGTGTTTTGGTATGCCGCAGCCGGGGATCGAACTCGCGACCTCCTGCTCCCCAGGCGGACGCTCTAACCACTACACCACGGAGGCGGTTCTATGAAAGAGGGTTACGTACCCTAGTTCTCTGTCGCATATATGCCATAAAACCTCTATAACCCTGTGGGTAAATTTCAAGGCCATTTAAGGGAATCAAAATCATCTGCCTCAACAAACATTTCGAACGCCTCCACAAACAAAGATTAGCTGTCCACTGTTCGAAAACAAGCAGGTCCCCCAACCACCACAATAATACAAAAAACCGAACACACACCAAATAAGCACATGCACACCTTCAATACAATCAACAGAACAGAACTTTCATTACACTCAGTGGGATACTCGGCATATGAGGTATGATATGATATGATATGATATTTATATAGCGCACATATCCACGCAACTAGTACATGCTCAAGATGCTTGAGTGGTCCATTGATCAACGGATATTTTTTTCTGGCATTCTTTTAACCAACTCAACTCCCTGGGGAGTATTCAACTCATGCAGCTGGTTAGGCGCAGCGAGTTATCACACAGCCTCATCCTCACGAGGTACCCACCCAACTTGGTGAACTGGGACACAGTTCTCAGTATTTTGTCCAATGATACTGCACGTTACTATACCCGCAAGTAGGTGCCTGCACGTGTTCGTATGTCCACCATCTGGTCACCTACCGTCGGATGAGTGGGTTCTTTTAAGTGCACATTGCTGTGTACTGCACACTAAGGGTTGTGACAACACTGAAAGATCAAGTAATGTTAGCTCCAAGGTTTTTACACCCGATCACAAGTGGGGATCGATGCAGGCATCTCTCGCTTACTAGCTCGGCGCCTTAGAAAGCTCGCCCACCATGCCCCCGTATAAATATACAGTAGAGAGTACATGGGTTTACAAGGAAGATTGTACAGTTTTCATGATAATACTACAAAATATAACACTAATTCGTTTACAGTTAAACAATTCGTTAAATCTTAAAACATTGGGTTTTTTAACATAATGCCTTAGGACATAAGCTTTCCGATGGTGTTTGAAGAAAGGACAGAGAAAAATGGAGTGAAATTCATCGCCAACATCACGCGTGTCCCAGAGGTTACACATTCTTTCTTCGAGTGGAATTTTGTGCCACCTACCTACTTCTATAGGTCAACGATGGCAGGAAGTTCTATACAAGAGAAATTGAAAAGCCAAGAAGAAAGGGATATATGTGAGATATTTTTCAAAGACAAGTTCAGATTTGAATAAACGATACATGGTACCCTTAGAAGAATTCGAATTCTCTGTGCGTCAAGTTTGGGTTGCTATATCATGTAACCGTGAGGAGATAATAGTTTTAATTTAATTGGAAAAACAGCTTGTTGACTAAACCAGTAGAAGCTATAGCCAGTTTCATTAAAAACGGCTTCCACGGATTTTATCCATTTTTGGTTGCTATTGTTTATACAGGCTTCTTTATATAACATTTGGTATAAAATTCTTGACACCTTTTGTTCTTTACCAGATATGAGTCTAGCCCAGAGACATACCGTACGACATTTGATAGAGTTAATTAGGGGTACCCTTCCAAGTTCTCCATAAAGAATATATAATGGCGTGCTTCTCCTAACGGGGAGTAGTGTGTGTAAAAAGTTAACATGAACGAATTCTATAGACTTACAGTTTTCAAACCCCCAGATTTCGAAGCTATAACAGAATTGGCTTAACCATGGCATCAGAGAGATATAGTTGCCATTTTATTGATTGGTTAAATGCTGGTATGCGACCTTTCCGCAGAACGAAATACATTGCTTTAGTGGCAAATTCGGGCGTTTATAGAGGGTTTGAAAGAATTATTGTTTGTAAAATGGATTCCAAGATACCTATAATCTTTGACATATTCGATGGTTGTACCATTTAATTGTTTACTCATATTTCTTTTTGTACCGCCAAAAACTAAAAATGTTGTTTTGTTAAAGTTGATGGCTCATGTCCATGTTTTACAGTAAAAGGTAAATGCGTCAAACATCATTTGCAAATTGTGATGGTTGAATGCTAATAATACTGTTTCGTCGGCATAAAGAAGCGCAAATAACACGATGGACACATCTAACAGTCCGCCGAGAGACTTAGACTCAACAGAATTTTGAGAAAGTAAAAACAGTTCCAAAACACTCAATCGACATGAATTTCAACCTTAAAACAAAACACTTCCCCAAACCACAGGTTAAGTCTATATAAGGTTCATAATCCTCAACCATCTTCCCACCAAAGTGCTATAATGACTCTGCCAACGTTTCAAACAAATCTGGCTTTATGACAATATACTCCTATGGAGGTAATCTACATTGATGGTGCTAGTCTACAAACCAGGGAACCCCCATAATAGCCATAAATGGTGGAGTTCTAAATTTCATTCACGCTTTCTTCAAAGACAGGGACATAACACTAAAATCCAACACATACAGCTACCCACTTGAGGACGGCACACCAGAAGGAGGAGCCTATCATCTACCCTCTTTAACTTCATGATAGGCAACATATTCATAAAACAAGCCAAAATCTCTCAGATTTCTCTTTAAAATCAATTTAAGTGGCAGAAACTAATTTTTTTAAATAGTAACTGACATACAAAACTGGGCCTCTTAAGTGGGCCTCACGCTTAAAGTAGCAAATTTAACCCCCAAATACTATTTATTACAAAAAACAGTCACGACACAACGGTCACAGCATGTGAACACGATGCCAACTTAATTAGAGCAATCAGTGGTTTCGGTTTTGGAGCCTGACAAACACACTCTCTTAAATATAACATATACAAAACATTAGTACAATCAAAACTAGGTTACCCCGCTCTGGTCCCAAACTCCATCTCCACCTCAGATAATGCTAAAAGTATATTCCATACATAAAGTCCTCCATTCAATAAAACAAATCTTAAACAAGCACTCCAAAACCAAACCAGACATAATAAATGACAGTATCGACTTAAAATCCCTATCGCAATACTATGGATACCCAGTCACTCTCACATACCTGGTAATTACTTCGCGGAACTGGCAGCCAAAACAGCGCCACAAAATCCCTCACCACAACACAAGCAAACCGAATAGAGACATTAGTTAAACAGAACACAAAAATTCAAGTTTCTTTTATTAAAAACTGCAAATCCCCATGGATAAAATCCCTTTATTACAACGGACCCATTGCAAAGTGCCAAAATTTCTCTTCTATGACCCTTCTGGACTAAATAATGTCTGGAACACACAGTGGAATCGTACTTACATGAACTTAAAACTATCTCACAGATAGATGCGGTGAAGATTTACGTCTCACTCAACTACACAGCTCTGCCCAAATATTGAAACCTTCAAAAAGATTCAACCCCTAAAACCCACCAAAAATATACACAACCATTTCATAAATCATATAAGCTTGTTAGGGTGATAACTCAAGAAATGATGGATTTTGTTCAAATTTGGTACCAAGGTGTCGTGGCGAGATTCACCGACACCAGTTGAATTTAGTGACCTGGAGATAATTTGCAAGGTCACAGCAAAAACCTCAGGGTTTTACCAACATAAAGATTGTTAGCGCGAAAAAAATTAATATATGCTTATCCACTTTTATATCAAGGTGTATTTGGCGGGATTTCCCCTACACCAGTTAATTGGGGAACTTGTGTTCATTTTGAGTTCACCGCGAAAATTGTATTGTTTTGCATACGAGTAACTTTTTAGTGCGAAAACACAAGAAAGAATTAATATATTCTGCTTAAAAGTAGTACCAAAATGTGTTATGAGTATCGTCTAACGCTTGTCGAATTCAATGATCTTCGGATAATTTTCAAGGTCACAGCGAGTATTCTTGCGATATCGCCCAAACTAATGGATGGAATTTATTCGCATTTTGTATCCGATAAGTTTCGGTATAGTTTAGATTATTAGTACGGTCACGCAGAAGATTATTGCGATATTCAGATATTGACATGTGGCGGGGTTAATAGCTGTGTTTGTGACAAAAAACCTTTTCATTACGGATTTTCAAAATGGTGTGTGAAATTGGTTTTTATAATTTCATGTTAGTTCTACCAGCTGTGAAATCATTCGTGACACGTCTTAAAACTACCAGAGATTATTTGTGTTTGTTTTGAATATTAAAGTTAATAGTTTTTCATTATGGATTCATGTTCACTGTTGACGCAAGGGCACATTTCACGAGCAACAGCTTTCAATATTTTAATGTTAAATCTATTATATTTTGAAGTTCTTCATGGCATATCCAAAAATAACAGGATATTGTTTGTTTACGCTTTGAAAAGTACGTTTATTCTTCTTCATTTTGGAATTATTTTCAATGTTGACATTAGTTTCACAGCCCAAATACAACAAAGAAATCAACGGGTGACATTAACCTCAAAGAATGATGATAACAATGCTTATAACCAACGAAGGGTCATATGTTTTCATACGACATGCACCCAGTAAAATATCACTTTGACATGTTAAGAAGCCGCTTTCTAAATACAATGATGCCGGTGAGCCTGCCTGTTTTGGAAAGTAGATTATCGCGTAATTTCCTCAATTAAAGACTTCGGTAAAGAATCGAAAATTATATTCGTGACCATATCCTACTATGTTAACGACCTAAATGCCGGCATATTTCTTGATCTGGTTCAGAAAATACCAAGATATAGGCAGTTGTGTCGTAAACATGATAAGACAAGGGCACTCATATTTATCTTGTATAACGTCGGCTAACTTTCCAATAATATCCATAGATTTTAGAATCTATAATAAAAATGCACAACTTAACTACTTGTTTGATAAATGACAACCAAATTAAAAGATTTTCAGGCTGGAAGGACGAAGTTCATTAAAAAACCATCGCCAGCTTTTCTTGGGGACTGATGAAAGGTTCGAAACTGTGGGTCATAAATACATGATAGCTTTTATTGTTGTATGTTAGATATACCCGTTAGACCTAGCCCTTCTACATGTATTTGGGATATATACCTGTTAGAACCAACACCCTATACGTCTTTAAGTATGTTAGATATACCCGTTAGACCTAGCCCTTCTACATGTATTTGAGATATACCCGTTAGAACCACCACCTCCCCCTCTATGTCTTTAAGTATGTTAGATATAACCGTTAGAACACCCCACCCAACCACCACACCACCCCAACACCATCCCAACCCACCCCACCCCCTCTACATGTATTTAAGTTTGTTTGTTTGAACATACATGCATTTTATTCAGTAGTGAAAGGAACTGGGCTCAAGTTATTCAACTTATTAAAGCCCATTAAATAAGTACATGGAGAAATACATGTGATGGACAATGAACAGAGGAAACACATATTACACATTGATTGAAACGCTTACTACGTACAATGAATTTATGGACTTGACTAAAAACATTTGCCTTTATAGTTTGTGGCCGACAAAGGCTGCCGTCCAGAATGGTGTTTATATCGAAGCTAACTTTTAGGATTTCAAAGCCTTGTATCAAAGCGTTGTATCAGCAGCTGACACACTTTGGACATTTTAGAAATAAAGGATTGGCATCTATCACAAGAGCACCACAATGGCAAGCTTTACTTTCAGATAAATTGACACGAAAAAAGATCACCATTCTGGAACTACATGAATGTCTTTACTTAGTATGTAGAATATTCATCTTCTTTTCACCAAATTGGAAATCTTTAGGAATTTTATCATTTTTTCAGATTGTTTCAATTTAAATGATGGAAATGTATTGATATATTTTATTGTGGAGGAGAGATGATTCCATAAACAAGCACAACCATATCTAAATGACTTTTGAAGAACCGTGGTTCTAAACGTTGGAATAGCCAAATTAGACTTGAACACGCAAATTGTCTTGAGAAATAGTTCACTAGATGGTGGATGCAAGTCTGTAAGGCGCTTGCATGTTAACAATTTTGTAAAAGGTTCAATGTGTCTTATGTGTATGTCTAACTTATAAAGGTAACCAACTCGTTTTACTGAACAAACTAGCTCTTGAAGCGAATTTTGGCAGACTGGTTACAATTTTTGCTGCTTCAAGCTGAACCATTTGACGTTTATCAGAAATATATGCAGGGCAATAATTTATTATCCGTCACCTCAAAGCAATCTTCTACGATATGTCTAGCGTACATGTCATATATGTTTGATAGACTATTTCTAGATAGGACATACTTTAACGACCGTAATGAGGAAAC